AAAATAAATAAATAAATAAAAATAAAGCCAGAGGCAGCAGCAAACAAACAAAACAACAAAACGAACTCCATGCATTAGAGGAATAGAAAGGAGGACAGTGCAAAAATGTACAGTGAAGCACTCTGCTTACTATATATTTTCTCATTTATCCCTCCATACGATCATATGAGATAGGGAATATTACTATCCCTTATTTTATAGATAAGGAAATTGAAGCTTAGGTTAAGTTCCTTATCCAAAATTACAAGGTTAACAAAAAGAGAAGCCTCTCTATACTATGATCTGGGGTGTGGGTCATACTATTTAAATAGGAAAACCCCAAGAATGTTAATGACTCAATTAGTTTTAACCACTCAAAAATATTTTCAGGCATTCAGTCTACAATCTTCTAGGCTTTGAACCTAATCTTCAATGCTTTGATCTAGTTAAATTCTTCTGAATGTAGATTAAATATTAGAGCCTTAGAATGTTAACACTTGAGCTTATAAAATATTGTTTTGTTTGCACAAGGTTTTATGTAAATGTTTCTATTTCTAAAAGTCTCTAATAACTCTATAAGCCTTCGTGTAAGTCTTAAGAGGTGGGGATATTAGTGAGACATCAAAAAAAATTATTAATTTGTAATTGAATAAATATAACAATTTGTCAAAAACAACAAAGCACTAAATCCATTTTTCAACTTTGTATTATATCCAAAGATAACTTTTGCATGGTGTATTTATGCAACATATGGTTTTAAATGCATTACAGAGATTAAAGTAATTACTGATAAAGTCATATGGTCTAACAACATAAATCAGCATTTCCCAAACTGGCGTTCCTCAGAACAAGTTCCAAGAGTTGCTTTGTGTGTAAAAAAGAGTTCTGTGGTTAAAGAAGTGTAGGAAACTCTGAGTTCAATACCCTTCATTAACAGTGTTTTGCTGAAAGCCTTCTCAGGGCCTTTAATATGGTAATGTGCACTATAAGTTTCCAAGGGGAAATACATATGAAGTGTTATTCTTAGTTGGCCAAAGAAGGTTTATGGGGGGG